AAGCACAAACCACCTCCAGACTCTCATCCACCTTCTGAGAGTTTTGGTGCTGACACCTCCCTTTTTTCAGAGGGCCATGGGAGCGAGTATGAGATTTCAGGTATGGAGGCACCACCAGAATCTGGTTCCTCTTCTGGTGGGGAGTTGGAGGCTGGAGAGCTAGTGATAGATGACTCCTACCGGGAAATCAAGAAGAAGAAGAAGTCAAAAAAAAGTAAGAAAAAAAAAGACAAGGAGAAACACAGAGAGAAGAAGCACTCTAAGTCTAAAAAGAGTTCTGGGCATGGTTCTGTGACAGTAGCAGAAGTAACAGTGTCACCACCACCTCCTCCCAGTACCCCTTATGTTCTTCCCCCGCCTCCTTCTGGTTTTCACTCAGATGGTCAAGGTGAGAAGAGGAGGAAGAAGGAAGACAAGGAGAAAGACAAAGCTGAGAAATGGGAAAAGGAAAAGGAGAGAGAAAAGGAAAAGGAGAGAGAAAAGGAAAAAGAACGAGAAAAGGAAAAGGAACGAGAAAAGGAAAAGGAGAGAGAAAAGGAAAAGGAACGAGAAAAGGAAAAGGAACGAGAAAAGGAAAAAGAACGAGAAAAGGAAAAGGAACGAGAAAAGGAAAGAGAACGAGAAAAGGAAAGAGAAAGAGAGAAGGAAAGAGAAAGAGAAAGAGAAAAAGTAAGGAAAAATTGGAGGGAAATTGGGTGATGGGTAATGGTGAATTAGGCACTCCATTACAAAGGCATGTTAAATTGAAACAGAAGGATAACTACTACCAGGATCAATGGTTTTAGTGAAGCATGTTTGGAAAAATGTGCCAGCCACTGTATTTCTCTTTGTAGCAAAAGGAACAGGTATCATTCTGGTTTTGTGGCACAGGCAATCTTTAGCTGATAGAGGTTCTTTGAAAAGGTTGTACTTAATTTGCTGGGTATGGGTTATGTACCAAGCACAGCAGCATTGTCGTTTGCTATTGTCCTAGCTATTGTCAAGCAGACTTTTGGACTAGTGATCTAGTCCATCATCACAGTTCCATAGTTGCCATAACGGAAATGTGAAGACTCACACAAGTGGAGTGCTGTGATCGATGGCTACCAACTTTTCAGAAGGGATAGGCAAAGAAGGAGAGGTGGTGGGGTGGCCCTCTATGTTAGGGGCAGTTTTGAATGTCTAGAACTTAATAATGTGAATGACAGTGTCAGAATCAAGGGGAAGGCCAATAAGGCAGACATCGTGATGGGAGTTTGTTATGGACCCCCCAGTTAGGATGTAGAAACTGATGAAATATTCTATAAGCAGCTGGCAGAGGTCTCGCCATCACTCACCCTTGTTCTCGTGGGGGGCTTCAACTTCCCAGATGTCTGCTGGAAATACTACACAGCAGAGAGGGAACAGTCCTGGAGGTTCCTGGAGTGTGTGGAAGATGACTTCCTAACACAGCTGGTGAAGGAACCAACTAGGGAAAGTGCCCTACTGGACCTGCTGTTTGTTAACAGAGAAGGTCTTGTGGAGGATGTAAAGGTTGGAGGTCATCTTGGGCAGAGTGATCACGAAATGGTAGAGTTTTCAATTCTTGGTGAAGCAAAAGGGCAGACTTTAGCCTGTTTAGGAGCATGGTCGAGAGTGTCCCTTGGGAGGCAGTTTTGAAGGGCAAAGGTGCCCAGGAAGGCTGGTCATACTTCCAGCAGGTACTCCTAGAAACACACAGAAGGCCATCCCCATGTCTCGAAAAACGAGCTGACAGGGAAGAAGACCAGCCTGGCTAAACAGAGAGCTTTGGCTGGACCTCAGGAAAAAAAGGAAAGTTTACATTCTCTGGAAAAGGGGGTTGGCAACTTATGAGAATTACCAAGATGTAGCAAAGCTATGCCAGGGGAAAATTAGAAGGGCCAAAGCTCAATCAGAACTCGGCTTGGCCACTGCAGTTAAAGATAATAAGAAGAGATTCTTTCAGTATATCAATAGAAAAAGGGAGACTAGGGAAAATGTAGGCCCACTGGTGAATGAGACAGGTGCCCTAGTGGTGGAAGACACAGACAAGGCAGAGTTACTGAACGCCTTCTTTTCTTCAGTCTTCACTGCTAAAGCTGTCCCTCATGAATCCCAAACCCTGGAGGCAAGGGGGAAGGTCTGGAG